GGATGGCGCAGTAGCCCGGCGAAAAGTTGCTCCTTAACGCCGCGCATGAGGTAGCTCAACTTCCTATCTTCACTTATGTTCGGGTCAGCTCGACGAAAAAGACGAGTCATATCTTCAGCAAACATAGTAACGCTTTCATTGGGTTTTTGAACCCGTAGCTCCAATAGCTGCTGCGCACGGTCGCGTCGATCGACATTGGTGAACGTATCGACAAGCTGTTGTCGGAAGTCGCCCCAAGTTAACAGACTGGATTCTCTGTTCTCATACCATATTTTCGCACCGCCGTCAAGGTATAAATAGGCGCGTGAGAGCTTTTCTTGTTCAGGCCACAGATTAATCTTGGCGGCACGCTCGTAGTGCTCAAGCCAGTCGTCCACGTCTTCATGGGCGCCGCCACTAAAGTGATAGGGAACCAGTGGTTGAAAGATGGTTACCTGTGAAGGCTGTGTTGGCGGGGGGCCTTGGGGCGCCGGTTGCGGACTGGCGTTGGCCATTTGTAGAGGTAATCGGCACTTGCGAGGTTCCGTGGAAGGCGTGAACTCTGGATCGAGGCCTATCAGCCGCCGACTGAACCGGTGCACGGGAGTTGCAATGGGTGACAATGCGTCCGAGCTCGATGAACGGCTCCCAGTGGGAGTATGGAGCATTAGGTAGGGTTGCGTCCCAGCACTTCCACCAGTGTCGCGGTGCAGCGCGAACCAAAGGCAGATAAACGTATAAACGTTCACACAGCGACTCTCCGCAGCCGAACAGCAAGATCGCCTTCTTCATCTTCAATCAGCCAGAGCTCCACTACCTGGTGTCCGCCAAATCCCCTTATTGTTTTTTTGGTCGACCAGTACACACGCGTCAATATTAATTCCGCGCTACATGAAAACAACATAGCAATAGCAGTATTTTTAGACATACGAAAGGCATTTGATGCTATTAGTCATTCCATTTTACTGGAAAAAAATGCATTCCTAAGGGATAAAAGGTAACTCGCTTGATTTTTTTTCTAGTTCTTTATCGGCACGCAAACAAAAGGTAGTCATTGGTGACATCAAGTCATCTTACGGTTATATTAAATGCGGGGTGCCACAGGGTTCAGTTTTGGGCCCTATGAAAAATCATCAACATGAAATCATCAATGTTTACCACCTATACATTTACAGGCTTTTACGCCGCTATAAGATCGAACAAAAAAAACGTTCATTTACTATTACAGATATCGCTTCCATGATACGTTATCAATCAAAGTACCCTCACCGTCATCAACCACCTTGGATGCTTCCTCGTATAAGAACTAACTATGGACAACAAAAAATTACTTATCAGCTACCGTTACAATTAAACAGGTTATATTCATCAGGTGTTAACATAGCAGATATCACCCTTTCTCAACTTCGCCAATATCTTATTAACACTCCTGACAATTAAGACCTTATCTTCAAAGTTCGTAGATAACAATTAGGGAAAACAATAAACAAAAACACAAAGGATGAAAATGCAGTCACCGCTGCATGTAAATAATATGTTTAATGTATTCGTGCTTTACATATTGCGACTTTTGATTTATATTACTATATATGTTTATTGCACTGTGTCTGTGTGGGTTTTTTTTTTTTCTTTTTTAGTTTGAAGGCTTTATCAATTCTAATTTTGTTAATGTTGTGTATTCTTGTCAGCTGTGGTGTTCTGTTGCCGCCACCGCCACTGCCTTATGTACATTGGGGGGTGAGAACTTAGTCAAGCGGATAATCGCTTTTATTCTCACCCCCTCCATCAACTGTGTATTGGTGGAAATAAAAACCATTATTATTATTATTATTATTATATTGTTCTCTCTTTATATTATGATGTCCCGCGATCTCTACAGAGGTCAAGGGCACTGATGTACGCGGACGACACTGTTTTAGTTTTCACAGGACACTCCTTCGCAGATTTACAAAATGACGCGATGACCGATTTATCGAACATTTTGGAATGGTTTGCCAGGAATCAGCTGACTGTTAACTGTACTAAAACAAAGTACGTGGTGTTTCACTCTCGTAGGAAATATATTGACGCTGAATCTCTTCACCTAACAATAAACAACGCTCCTATTCAACAAGTTCCTTGTTTTAAATATTTAGGCGTCACTTTTGATGAACATTTACACTGGCATGAGCAAGTACAGAGTGTGTGCGCAAAGGTAGCCTATGGCTGCTGTTCTCTAATAAAAGCTCGCCAATATTTTCCACAAGCTATACTTCGCACACTCTACTTTTCATTGTGTCGTCACATAGGTTACTGTCTGGAATCGTGGGTTGTGACGTACCACAGTTATCTAAAAACTCTTGAACGACTTCAAAAGCGTACACTGAAAATTATAAGCCAAGGTGAATCAGTAAGTAATATTTTCCAATCACAACGCATTCTCTCGGTTCCGATGTTGCGTGACTACAAAATTGCCGTTTCAGTAAATAACATAATTAACAGAAATTCACCTTTGCCTGCTGATCTTTTTTCAATTCCTAAACGCAATACGCGACATGCTTCGAATGGTAATTTCAATCTGCCCAAATGTTTTAATGTTTACGGAGAAAGACTGATACAGTTTAATGGAACAAAAATATGGAACACGGTCCCCCAAGAGATTAAAATGGCACGTAATTTCAGCATGGCATGTTAATCATTTTTCTGTGGAGTCAAGACATGTAAGCATGTGTGTGTTTGATTCGATTTTCATTGTATTTTTTTAATAAGTGCCTATGTATAGAAACTAGCTGCAAGCTAATAAGTATGCATATCTGCAGGAAAGAATGTATTACTGTGTTATCTGTATCATATGATTGTTTTTTGTGTTTTTTTTATGTTGTTACCTCAGAGCTGACCTGTACACTTTTTTATGTTGCACATTGTATTGGACCGTCCACTAGCCACTTTAGGCTATCGGTCCAAATAATCCCTGTAATTGCATATATCTATTCATGAAAATAAAGTTTCATTGATTGATTGATTGATTGATTGAAACAAGACGGAATGTGAAGCACCAGCTGTGAACACGGTGTCAACTGGGGCGAAACAGGTGCCGATGCGAGTGCTTTCAAGGGTATAAAACAAAACTCTGGGTAGCGTTTACCCGAGTAAACATTTGCTTGAAATGCGGACACGAGAATGGGTGGGTTTTGTGTGAGTTCCCTCACAGATTAACGAGAGAAAAGAGTGTTTCCATTCGACTTGCGGTGAGCGTAGCATACGATGGATAGGATGAAGCGAGTGAGAAGTATGTTGCAAGCGGGTGGAGGGGCTGGCAGCTGTGGGCACTCTAGCGAGCGTGCTGCGACTAATAAAGAGGGTGGCGTCAGCCGTCAGCGCGCACCTGTGCAGGAGGTGGGGAAGTGCAACGTGACGTCTATGCGCAGCTGCGATTTGAACTGCTTGGCCCCGCCCACTCTACCCATTGCAGAGACGGAAACGCGTTGTGATGCGTTCGTTCATCCGTGCATCCATTCGTGGGTCTGTCCTCGCATTCATTCGTGCATCTATCCGTCGAGACCTCGCGATCCTGCCGATCAGCACGGGCAGCAGCGGCCTTCCGCATTCGGCGCTCCTCGTCTTCCGTGACCAGCAAGCAGGATCTGGCAAGCGCACAAACAGCACGTACGTTCACGATCCCGTAGAATGAAAGCGTGGGGTGCCGGGTCGGCGTAGAAGGAATCACGAAATGGCAACATAACTTCTTAGTGTAGTGCTAGCAACAATGAGGCGAGCATACTGACGCTGCGATCAAACGGTTAGTGAAACAATCAATAAACCAGGCTTGACAGCATGGGTTTTATAAAAACAGTGTTGACGCAAGCCTCCAGTGAAACTTTGGTGTCAGAAGCGTATTGCAGCAAGCAAGCGTTCCACGCAGGGCTATCTAGCGACGAGACGGAAGCCGCGCAGGTATGTATGCAATGATCGCCTTATCAGCCCCCGCATAGTGTAGAGCCCTGAGGGTTCAGAGAAATTTGGGAGGCGTACCAGACATGCAGAGCGTGTCATGAAAACAGGAGGCTACGACGTCGGTGGCTGTAGAAGGACGCTAGTGGAAGAGTGGCACGGCCCGTTTCATTCGCAGTGGTCGGTGCGGGCTTCGGTCGGTCAAGCGTGAAGCGCACGTCATTGCTATTCACGCGCAAAATAAACAAGGCAGCGTTCACTGTAGACGGCCGGGAAAGGCCGGTGAATGGTGTCATCGCGAAGATAAGCGTGCGTAACGATGCTAGCTTCTTCAACACGAAAGGCGTAAGCTTGCTGTGGTGAGCTGCAGGTGGCGATGAAGCACCAGAGCCGGGTGACGAAGTCTGCAGGGTGTGACGGCATAGTGCTGGTAAGTAGTGCGGCGACCAGTTCACCTGGAACATGAAGTGGTTTCCCGTATATGAATTCTGCTGGTGTGTCTAGCTTGAAGGTAGCCCGAAGACCGACCATGACAGCTGAGATGGCCTCAAGCCAGGTCGTGTCTCGGTGGCACATGATGGCTGCCTTGAACTGTCGCTGGACACGTTCGATCGTTCTATTGGCGCAGGGGTGTTAACTTGTGGTCCACAAGAGTTCAAAACTAATAGTCAGTGCGAGGAACCTGAAGAGGTTCGACTCAAGCTGCCGTCCTTGGTCGGCTGAAGTTATGTCTTGTGCGGTGATACAGTCGAGGAACCATGGGTTGGGCCATCCAGTGTACCTGTCGACGGCATTAAGGCAGTAGCGGTAGGGTCCAGCCAGAGGAAACAGCCCAATTATGTCGAGGTGGACGTGCTCGCAGCAACCTGAGGGCTGAGGGAGTTTTTTAAGTGGCGACGTAACGTCCTTGTTGACTTTAGCGCATTGGCAGTGAATGCATGAGTGCGCCCACTTGCGACAATAACGCTGCCTGGAGGGCCCGACGTGGCGGTAAGCTGCGAGGCGTGTAGAGCTACGTATGCCGTATTGGCTGCGGTTGTGGAGCTGATTGGAAAGACCACGGCGATGAGACAGGGGCACATAGTGCCTACTTTGTACTGTCAACATGTTGAAGCAGATGATTTTTGCCGACCCTGGAATGGGGACTTTCTCTAGGTGTTGTGAGGGCGTGCCCTTGAGAAGTTGCTGCAGTGCAGCATGCGTGGCCTGAGCCTCGGCAAGGACGTCAACTGTTATCTGCACCGAGCTGATGATGGCTAGACGTGAGAGCGAAACGGTGACTACATTGCTTTCCTCGCTTAATGTTCTACACCAGGCCAGCGTTCCACACCAGGCCAGCGGCTGTTCTCTGGCCTGGTGTGGAACGTCCCATTGTCGCGTCAATGAGCCAGTTCTTGCAGCAGTCCGAAATGAGGTTGTATCCAATGAGCTTGTAGCCGATGATTGGCTCGGCGACGTCGGCGATGACAAAGTTGCAGTGAAGGTCGCGGAGTAGGTTCTTAAGGTGGGTGTGCAGGTGCAACAAGCCATATGTCTTGATTGTGGGCCGGTTTGCTGCGCTGAACTCGAAAAATGCCGGTGGGCGATGACCCGGAAGGTTGGATCACGGATAGCAGCAAATTTCAGAAGCATTTTCGGCCAGGTAATGCCGCTTCGTGATTTGGACGGGGACGAATATGCGACGGGCTTAGGTTGGCAGCTTGCGGCTGTCTGTCAAACAGTCATTCTTGTTTCCTATATGTCCCATAGATTACGGGCAATCTACATTGCCCTAACTACCAAATTGCGTTTGTCACTGAACCGCAGGTGATATTAGCACGGACCATTGAGGTCAGGTTGCAGCGATAAGGTGTTGTTATGGCTATTGCTTTTGCACTGAAAGACGTTCGCCCACGTGTTGCTGACTGGAGGTCAGCCATCAATCGATCTCGTCGATATGACGCGCAAGTTCTGTGGTGTTCAGCGGTGCGTTGACAGCCTGGATGGTGGGGGACGAAAGCGGCAAAGAGGCATTGAGGACGCGAACAGCAATCTCTGCAAGTTCGTTGAGATGTAGCCTGATCTGAACCTGAAGAATTCGCTGGACGTGTGGCGGCACTCGTTGGAGCGAAAGTGATCACAGGGAAGAATCCTGGATTATGTTGCTTGCGATTGCACGCATGTGTCGGAAGTGCGGAATTCTTAATCATGCCCATTTTCCACATGTCAGTCTCCGTGTCCTTCACTTTCTTTTTAACCGATAGTTCTTTTTGGTTTGGCCACCTGCTGTTTTCTAAGTATTTACCAGTAAACTTCCTGGTTCACTTCCTCCATTTGGTATCGACATTTTTCATATACAAGTAGCTGAAAACCTTCCTAGCCCGACGCTCCTCCTTCATTTCTCTGAATCGCTTCTCAAAATTTATCTTGCTGCTAGCTTCCCTGCCCTCAAATGATGTCCATCCTATATCACCTTGTACTCCCTGATTTGGTGTATTCCCGTGAGCTCCTAAAGCAAGCCTACCTATTCCACGTTGCTTAATTTCTAATTTTGCTTGAGCTTCTGATCTCATGCACAAGACCGCATTGCCGAACGTCAGCGCAGGAACCATGACCCCTTTCCATATTCCTCTCACAAAATCATGCCTATTGTAATTCCACAGTGCCCTATTTTTCATCACTGCTGCATTCCTGTTACCTTTAGTCGTCACGTATATTTCGTGATCCCTCAGGTACTCGGTCCCATTGCTTATCCATACGCCCAGATATTCGTATTCATCTGTTATCTCTAGCGTGACGTCCTGTATTCTAAGCTCACTACCTTCATTGTCATTGAAAATCATGAATGCTGATTTTTCCTCACTGAATCTAAAATCTAACCTATCTCTCTCATTACCGCAGATGTCCATCAATCTTTGCGAATCTTTCTTGTTGTTGGCCATTAGCACTATATCATCTGCGTACATTATAGCTGGTAGTGCCTGATCAATAAGTTTTCCTTGTTTGACTAAAGAGAGGTTGAAGCCCAGCCCGCTTCCCTCTAATTTTGCCTCTAATCCTTGTAGGTACATCATGAATAATAAGGGTGACAGGGGGCACCCCTGCCTAAGCCCCCGTTTTACCTCTGCAGGCTTGGATACCTGTTTTTCCCACTTTATATCTACCTTGTTACCTTTATAGATACCCTTTAAAAGATTAGTGACTACATGTTCCACGCCTAGTGTGTCCAGTGTTCCCCACAATTCCTCTTGAACCACGCTATCGTACGCTCCCTTGATATCCAAGAATGCTAGCCACAGGGGCCTGTGTTCCTTTTCTGCTATTTCGATGCACTGCGTCAGTGAGAACAGATTGTCTTCCAACCTCCTGTGTTTCCGAAACCCATTCTGCAGTTCCCCCAGCACCCCCTCATCTTCTATCCATGCCTGCAGTCTTTCCTTTATAATCTGCATCGCCAGCCTGTAGACCACTGATGTCACTGTTATAGAATGGTAGTTGTATATGTCAGCTTTCTCCCCCTTTCCTTTATAGATCATGCTCATCCTGCTAAGTTTCCATTCATCGGGGACTTCACCATTGATTATTATTTTGCTCACTGCCTCTCTCAAAGCCACCCTATACTTCGAACATAATGTCTTTATCAGCATAATTGGATTGCCATCTGGGCCTGTTGATGTTCTACTAGGAACCCTCTTCTCAACCCTTTCCCACTCTGGTTGTGAAAATGGAGCCATTGCACCACTAGATTCATCCTTGTCTATTGTGGTGCATAAAACACTTCTTTGTTGAAATTTTTCTGTCACCCTTGTTCTTATATATTCAATAGCTTCGTCCCCTTTCTAGCCTAACAAATTGAGCTGTAGTAATAAGTCTCTGCTCTAGGCTCGTCTCGTTTCTTAGGGAGTTTAGATGGTTCTAAAATTTCGCAGCTGCCTTTCTGTTTTTTTTATGTACTCCTGCCAGCCACTGAGATCCCTTTCTTCCAATATTTTCATTGATCAGAAGGGATGATTCCCTTCTACAGCTTAGAAAGATTTCCCATTTTCTTTCAACATCATCTATCGGTTCACCCCGCTGCTTAGCATGTCTGTGTTCCGTAGAGACTTCCTGACGTTTTGCTATGGTGCTCGTAACTTACTGATCCCACCAACTCTTGGGTTTATGTCTTTTTTTCCGGGGTGACTTGTCACGCGTCTTAGCAAGCTCTAGCTCAAAGAGTCTAATTAGATTCGTGTATGTCCACACTGTCTTATTATCCTCCGTGATTACTTTCTCAATTTGTTTAGTGGCTATTTCAATTTGACTTTCTGAATAAAAATTTTCCTGCAGTTGCTCATCCTGTCTCCTTCCCACTTTCACTGCTCTTCCAAAACTTAGCTTGATACGTTTGTGATCACTACACGGACTTCTGGAGCCACCTTCATCTATGTGCATTCCCCTGAGCTTATCATACATCCTATGTGACATCAGTGCATAATCTATCGTCGACTGCAGCCTTCCTACCTCCCATGTTATTTGCCCTTCACACTTCTCGGTACTGTTGCAAATGATCAAATCAAGCCTTTCACACATATCCATGATCATTTTGCCTGTCGGGTTGGTATACCCATCTATATTTTCTATGTGCGCATTCATGTCTCCTAGTATATTTATCTCGCACTCTCTTCCTAACTCCTGAATTTCCTTTGATATACACTCTACCATTGCCTGGTTTTCCTCTCTGGTCTTTGCTCCCGTCCACAAGTACACGAAACCAAGGAGTGTCATTTGACCTGCCACTTTCCCTTTTAGCCATAAATGTTCCTTGCACTCCTGCTTGGCCCTTTGCCAGTCTGTACTTTTATGAATGAATGCCCCAATACCACCCCCCTTTCTGCTGCCTTCTGTTATGTTACAATATTCCCACGCGTAGTCCGGATTGTTCGGAGGTTGTTCCATGTCCCTGAGATGTGTTTCTTCAAAACCGTATACCATCGGCCTCTCTTCCCTTAGCTATTCTTCAATCTCTTCCCACTTCAGCCTGTTCCTACCACCCTGCATGTTAATATACCCTATGTCTGAATGGGCTCGGCGCTCGTGGCGACGTCTATTTATGCCCCGGACTCTACCTATCTTAGGCATTGGTGCCACTTTGGAATCGTATCTGTCCATAACACCTGTCGAAGAGTCTCCCTGGTTGTTTTCCTCGTTACTAGCTATCCTGCACCCCGTAGGGCTCGCTTGCCCCCCAAAAAAGCTACTGCGCGTCCTGCAAGTCGCCAACCCACCTCATGACCTAGTCGCCCACCGAAGTGAATTCTGTCTCGTTGAAAACCACCCCACCTATGCACCTCTCTGTTTATTTCCACCACCTCAAAACCTTTCTCTCGACTCATCCGCCATATCTCTTGGTTTGCGTTGAGAACCGCTCTTTGCAGGTTGCTATCACGCACCGGTACCTCCGGTATCGTGCATATCACTACCTGTACCTTAGGAGAAGTGGCGCGCATGTCATCGACACCTTTCGCCAGTGTGGCTGCTAGTCCTGCTGTATCTTCCTTTAAGACATCGTTTAAACCACCTGAAATTATCACGAGGTTTCGTCTATCAGCTGTGGTTTTGAGTTTTGCGCTCGCTTGCCTCATGACTGCTTCAAGCTTGCGTCCTGGGAACGCCCCTACTGCAACCCTCTTGTCACCTCTTACGCTCTCTTTGATGGCTTCTGTGCATCAATTTAAATTTGAGTCCCCGGCGATTATCACATGCTGTGACTTTTCAGCTGGAGCGTCCTGCACCTGGGGGCTACTTGCACCTGTGACGCCGGCTGCTTTGTCCCCTCCCAGCCCCACCACTACCTCGCTGAAGCTGGGCCTTGCGACAGTTGAGCCGGCTAAACCTTTTTTTTCCAAACTTGCTTGTTCTTCCTTTTCCATCGTTCTGGTTGCCGGTTCTCTACTGTTCTCTCCGTAGGCCACTTCTTTGTTCAGCTTCGCTAGTGCTTCCTCGGTGGACTACAGTCTTTCTCCCATTGCCCTCGTTTTCTCTTGCGCTGTCGCCAACGCAGTCTCGAGCTCATCGATTCTCACTAGCAGTTCACTTTGGGCAACCATCATTTTCTCCATTTTTTCCTCGACCTCCCATTGCCTACACTTCGCGTCAGCCTCTTCTCCATCCGCTTCTACGCTTGAGTCCACTTTCAAACCCACTCCACATCCTGAACACTTTACAGTCTTTTTAACCATGTCTTTCTGACACCAATTGTCCCTATACTCGATAATTACTAAACTCGAGCCGTGCACTACGAAAAAAAGAAAGTCTAAGCTCTACTACAAAAAATTTGCGTGTTCAATGTATGCGCACCTTCCCCACGGGGTGGCAAAGAAAAAAAACAACAAAAAAATTTCAAACACACACACCCGCACTAACTAAATACCTGGTGACGGCTCCCGAAAAAGCCGTACCATAAATTAGTGCTACGAAAATTTCAACCACTGCCTTATAATTGATAAAGACAAGCTCAAAACATGCAAAAACACTTATCTGCGCAGTCGATCCGGAGCGCTCGAAAAACACGTCCATCCACCGTGACAGCCTGA